AGCTTTATCTGCAGTCCATGGCAGTAAGATGAAGAGTCAGTTTGCACAGAATTTGGAAAGAAAGTGTTCATGTGATTTCTGAAACATATTTGTTCTTCATAAATTATTTCCTGCACCTTATCACCTCACTGTGTCACTGTGGTTTCCTGTTGGTACAAATGTGCTGGGCCAGATTCCCCCCAGTACCAGACTTGGCACAACCCCTGCACAGGACACTTATCCAGGTCCCTTCACTGCCTCACCCTTTCTGAGCCTCAGACAGTGTCACTTGGCAGCAGCCTTGGCCCTCACGTAGAGCTAAATGGATCTTCGGTCTTACTACAGCCTACTTCTGTTATGTAGCCTTGGGCTACATGAAATGGATACACTTCACCCAGAATTATTTTCAAAAGTCTGTCCTAATCTCTTCCCTTCTCCCCAAAACAGCTTGTGAGCGCAAGAATGCAGAGGCTGCAAGACTCCTGGTGCAGTACAATGCAGACACCAACCATCGCTGCAATCGAGGATGGACTGCTCTCCACGAGGCTGTCTCCCGAAATGACCTGGAGATTATGGACATCCTTGTGAAAGGGGGGGCCAAGATTGAGTCAGCAAATGCCTATGGGATCACTTCCTTATTTGTGGCAGCTGAGAGTGGGCAGTTGGAAGCGCTGAGATACCTTGCAGGATGTGGTGAGTACGGCTTTACATACCTCTATTCATTTAATTCTTAATAATTCAGTTTCCYAGTAATTTTCCCTGGCTCAGTTTTTCTGTCTCTGGAGCCTGCAGAGGCACTACAACTCTGTTGCTCCTGATGGTGGAACTGGGTAGGGTCTTTCACAGAGCATGGTCTAGACACAGTGCTCCTTCAGCACTCGTTCACGGTCACCTGCTTTGGGAAGTAACACGKTGCTGCCTGACTGCATTTCCTAACAGCTTCCTAAACCCGTATWGCCCCACACATGTAGCCTAAAATCCAATCAGCCATTAAAAGGAAACAGCTATTGGTGATAATAGATGGCAGAAATTGAACTTTAGCCAACCCCATCTGCTCATGAACATGCACAAGGATGGGCAAGATTAGCTGCCCTCCTCTTACTGCATCCGCTGAAAGCAGATGAACTGCTGCTGTAGAGTTGATGGGTTTACATCAAATAGACTCACTCTCCCTATGTGTAAATGTTCAAACAGATAAACAGAGTGAATTTGAGTCTAATTTACACTAGAGCTATCTTTCACTGCTCCACTCATGTAAAACAGCTTTGCAATAAACACAACACACTTCACTACTAYTCTGAGGCATATTTTATTTTCAGAGTGGGCTAATATTTTCAGTCTAGGTAAGATTTGGGTCCTGCACTTGCAAAACAAGAGCTTACCAGTGATTAAGATAAGAAAAACTTTAGAAAAAATTAGCATGATTAAGAAAGGTATCAGATTTGGGAAAAAAAATGTGTTCTGTTGCCCAGCTAGTCTCCTCAAGAGTTTTTATGACCAGTAAGTCCAACATTCTGCCTACAACTACAGTAAGTAAGCCAGAATGTGATTTGTGTTTCAAATTAGATAGATACTAAGATTTCCTTAAAGTTCAATTTTGAGAAAAATACACAGGAAAAAAATCCAATAAAACTGTCCAATTGTTTCAACCCTGAAAAGCTCTTTTGAGAAGCCCAAGAATGATATCATTCGTGGTTTATGATGAGCAATTTTCATCATAAAAAGGGTTTATTTCTCATTAGGAACATAGTCCTGTATTATGTTTTATCACTGTAATTCTCCTGATGTTTCCAGCTACATCATCTTCAAAGGCCAAGCACAACACAGATGGTTCAGCTTAGGGTGAGAGCCCAGGGAAATGTTCTCATTGGCAGAGAGCTTTCATGATCAAACAGAAGATCGATCCATTTCTTTATTTGAGTTTAGAAGCAAAGCTCCAGTGAACTGTCATTCCCTTTTAGGATACATGTAAAGCAGCATTCCTGAGAACACCATGGTACAGTATATGACAGTCAAAACCCAGACTTAAGGCCACAATTACCTACAACAGAAAAAGCCAGATTCCAAATTGTTTATGGCAAAAGAAGTATTGTCTTGGTTTATGCTTGCATGTTATTTATCAAGCCAAGCATACATTAGAGCTCAAGAAAAAAGTTTGCAAATAGACTATTAGGAAGTTTATTGATAATATTTATCTTTTTTTGTAGCAAAACTTACCATTTAAAGCCTAACTCCAACCCTCAGGAAATGAAGACATATGGCCTCAGGTGTTGAGTTTTGAAATGCAATATTCATTGATCAAGGCACACCCAAACAAAACCTGCTTGAAATTGTTGATCAGCACCATGCAGACATCATTTTATAGAGTATTATTTTAGCCTGAATATGTACTAAAAGGAAAAAGGAGTGTAAATACTATAAATGTACTTACAGTGTAAATATATGTAGCATAAATTATACATATAAATAAATATATAGCAAAAATAAAAATCCCTAGAATTTTGCAGAGCACCTATTGAGATAATCTAGTGCAAACTCCTGCTCAGGGATAATATATATACATAGTGTGAACTCATAAACATTAACAGAATTATTGTGTTTGAAGCCCATTTAAAATTTTCCTACAGCTGAATGGAGCCTGAATTCATGACTGGGACCTAACCCATGATAAACTGACCCTCATAAAATTCCCATTATATTATAAGCCAATGTAAATCTATGGTATAACTGATATGACTGTACCATGTCTGATATGACCATGTTCACATCCCCATCCAGCACATTTTGTAGCTCCAGTATAATGGAAATATATGTATTCATTCAAAGTATGTTCCTCCCATCTAATTTTTACCTTTGGGTGCTAAAAGGTTTTCTTCYTTCCCAGGCGCGGATATAAACACACAAGCCAGCGATAACGCCTCTGCTCTTTACGAAGCCTGTAAAAATGGACACATACCTATTGTGGAGTTTCTTCTGTCCCAAGGAGCAGATGCTAACAAAGCCAATAAGGACGGCCTGCTGCCTCTTCACATAGCAGCCAAAAAAGGGATTTGCGAGTAAGTTTTAGTTAGCTTCTCGGTTTCATCTTTTAGACAAGATTCCAAAGTCCCTACCAAATGGAGAATGTAATGTCCCAGGTCTAATTCTAAGCATTGTGAGCATCAGATAGCAGCTGAGAAGTGGCTTTCTGCTTGCAGAGCTCAGGCTAGAAACTATACACTGAAGAGTGGGTTTGGAGGTTGGGATGGGATGGGGTGAGCAGGAAYGTGGTGCAAAAGATTCTTTTTATTTCACCAAGACATCACCTACTACAGCTAAACAACTTCATGTATCTTGGAAGTGGATTAAACTGAAGTCCTCAAAACATTCTTGAAATATAATAGAAAAAGTATYGGTGGGGAGTGTTAGTTCTTAATAGCTCTTGCAGCATACTTTACAATCATTTTCCTACATGGGCCCACTGTGGTTCTTCTGTACAAGAATTAGGTGCTGGATTCATTTCTGGTATGTTCAGGCTTTAAAAACAATGATTTTTTTGTTGCTAACAGCAGGAAGTGGTTAAGTGAATCTCTAGGGCATTAGTGAGATTGTTGCTAGAACATGGCGTCCAGTTCTGATRTCCTGCCTTTCAAAAACCTTTCAGGAAATTGGAAAGGCTTCCAAAAAGAAGGACAAGAATTTTTCATGGTCTGGAAAATACATTTTATTAGTGAGCAATTAAATAACTCTTAGTTGTAGTGAATAAATGCATAAAAAGACCCCCTGGTTTCTTTCTGAAATTAAATGTGTTTGCGATACAGCTGAGCATATTCTTTAAACAGGGACAAAACTAACTAGTGGAAAAATAAGAAGGAATTGGGTAGAATTACCAGTCCCTTCAAATAGAGGTTTTTCTAGGAAAGCAAAAAACTATAGTCTGTGACAAAGAATATAAATTAAGATGCCATATAGGGATGGGATCGCCTTGTCATGTAAATAGTGTTTACCTAGCTCTTTCAAAACCTGGAACAATGCAGCATGCTTCTGAGCCTGAACTCCACAGCTTCTGATCCTAGAGCAAGTTTTAGTTCCTGCTTTTAACCCCTCATTGCTGGAAGAGTGAGTGACACACATCTAATTTTTCATTGCAGTAGAAGACGCCTTTGGTGGCTGTAGAGGACTCTTCTGACTATCACAGTTTCTATCTATAAATACTTCTAGCAACAGGCAAATGAGACAGTCTGTCCAACTGCAATGACTATTTCTGGACAGCACACCTATCTGTGCTCAAGTGGATTCCTACATATTTCCCAGTATATGAGGAATAAAAGCTTTTATTATCACTGCACCTTCCCATAATGGTTTTTACTCTAGCATTTAGATTTGCTTGGGAATGCCAATTAAGAGTCTCAAATCTCTTTAATAGACCTGAGGATATTAATTTTCTGTAGTTTACTAGGCCTGGTTCCTTGTGCAAACTGTGTATTCTAGAGGGCAGCTCAGTGTCCACTCATGTAACAGGTTTATACACTTACATCATATACATGAATACCTTGCACAGACCAACATAAGTGTGATTCAAAATTTTTTCCAGTGTTTGAGTTATAAAGTCATTTTCTTGTGCGAGAAACGGAACTCAGGTCCAGTTGTTCACTTTCTAAAAAGTTTATCTGAAAGTACAGTAAGTTGCTCTGAATCCCATTTGTGTATCGAGTATGGGCTGGCTCCCTAAATCTTTCCCTACCCTCAGTAGTCCCACACTTTGACCTGAAAAAAAATTTACATGGGAACCCCACAGCCTGAGTTCACCCCTGGGGCAAGGGCCTGATTCAGGGCTCATAACAACCAGCAGCACAAATGAGACCAGAATTTAGTTCAAACTCTGTATTCCTTCACTTTTAAAAGACTGAGCACAAATTTTGTGCACAACTGCTGCAAACTAAGTGGAAAAGAAACACAAAAGAAAAATACATTCTCTTATAAATATTTATCTAAATGACAGAGCTTTAGCCCAATTGGCTTATCATTCTTAATTCCTTTGGTATTCAGTAAAATAACACCCTTCACGGTGACCTCTGTATTCCTGCAGATTAAGAACGTAATTCTGCAGGAATTCCACACTTCAACTTTTTGCCAGAGCACGAAGGCTCCCTACCATCAAAAAGCCAAGAATGTGGTCCCAGGGCTCAACTGTCAACTCTTGTTGCTTGGTGTTTATTTTAAATGACACCTTGTCAATACTGACCTGAAATTCATAAGGGTCATCTCATAAACTGTAGGACAATCGCAAGCAGTCATTTAACTCTTTCCCCCTTAGAACTAAGATGCTTTGTAAAGCATGGGCAGATTTGTTTTGCAAATACAAGTCATTAAACTCTTGGCACTCTCATATTAAGGATGCTTTGCCTCCTCCTCCATAAAAGCTCTAAAGTAGAAGACACTGAAGCAGGTGTCAGGGATAAGGGGAATCTTGGCACTATTTCAAAACTGTACATGAAGTTCATCCCTGTGGCAGACATGTGATGCAGTCTGACTTGTCTGGCCTTGGCTGCCTTCACTTGAGTTGCATTCTTCTTCTMGAGAAACAGGAAAGGCTCCAGAGCCACCACATTACTGAACTGACCCACTTTGGAGGTGAGAGAGACACAGATTCAAGTCGCACAATTAAACTGATAAAAATTTGATGCTTCCTGCTTGTCATACYAAAATAATTGTGGGGTACAGGGACTGTACTGAGCTCTAGGACACTGCAGCATTTAGATGRCAACCCTGCAGTGAGGTTCAGGTTCCCCTTGTAGACAGAAACGATGCAGTGCCTCTTTAACTCAGATGAGAAGAGCTGGCTGAAGCACATATGCTGGAGGGAAAGAACAAAACAGACCCTTAAATCTTCAAAACATTTGATCACGGGATGACTAATGCTGGTACTTGGCATAGTGTCCTCACAGTGCTCTGTGCCCTTTTTGTTATTAGGCTCTTACAGAACATTTGCTGAGGGTGGGAAGTTGCCAGCTCACCAGCACCCAAACCTCCTGCTCCCTGGCAAGTGTCACAGTGCTGGAAAATTAGTGTGACTGCTTGGAGAAAAAAAAAAGTGCTTAATTCCCAAAATATTCACATAATTTAAAAAGCCTTTTTGTTTAAAAATGAGATGTAGAAGTATCTTGGAGACATCAACAGTCCATCACGTAAATAGGAACATAATCCTGWAAAGTGCTATGCATCTTCAACTCTTATTTCAGCTCCTCGGAGCATTGGAGGCTCAGTCTTTCACAGGATCACAAGATCATCACAGACAAAAGTTTTATGGGCTTAGTTTATTATGTAAATATATGTTTGAGGGCCCAGTGTTGGGACCAGCCATTGTGGTCAAACTGAAGATAGGCAGCATTTTAAAGGAAGCACACTACAGGGTAGGAAACTGAGATTTGCATGTTTGTGTGTCACCAGAGCTGCTGGCTGCTACAGAGTAGTCTGCATGGGAGGAAAAGAGGAGGAGAAGGCACGCTTGGCTTCCTGGCTCACACATGTTCCTATTTTAGATACCCCTCTCCCCACAGACATTATATAGGGAGTGTGGGCAACTCCTGAGACAGCAGGCAGACTCAGGTTGGACGGTCCCTAACTTTTTTCTGGAAGTAACTTAAGGCAACTTTATATCTACAGAATCAGCCTAGGGCCTTGGCTAAACCACCCAACTTTATGAGCAGGAAATGAAGGTTTAACCCATAGGGTCGGTCATGCATCTCCAATCACACCTATGCAGATATAAAAATGATACAGACTTGCAACTGCAGGGCTCCTGTGCATCATATATTTGAAATTCATATATATGTTAGAACAGCTTGGTTTATGTTGTTGTGTTTAATGCCACATCAAGTTCCCAACAGCAATACCTCATTACTAAGGTCTAGGATCTGGCTATACATTGGGATGGACATTGATAGCCCCATGGATTTGCCACAGCCAAAAKCCACACACTGAAGGCCTCCAGGATAGCAATCAATGCAGGGTAATAACTGAATTGTAAATCTGATAGGGAAGGCCTGGGAACCAAATCTGCAGTTTATCCTAGCTCAGTCCTGTAGAGATGGGGTTTCACTCCTTTTCTGGTCTCCAGCCTATTACTGTGGCTGTGACCCACAAGATCTGCCAGCACTTTGTGTTTCCATGCTTCTCTGCTGAGCAGTAAAACAAGTAAGGAGAAGATACATTGAAGGTGAAGGTGGGGAGATCCATTCTCTCAGCTGGCACCTGAGGCTGGAGGTTGTGCACCTTTTCCTCCAGTCCTACCCACATCACCACAATGATGAAGGCATAGAATATCGGGTAGCTCCTGGCTGGTCATCTGCCATTTGGGCTGTGGAGCCTAAAAGAAGTTCAACAGGGTGGGTGAGTGCCAGCACGTCATCTCTTCCATTGTAACTGCTCCTCTAGCTGCAAGTACATCATAGAAACTGGGTGATAATCTCAAAAAAAGGGTGATAATCTCAAAAAGATCCCACATAAAAGGGGAGGGTCACATAACTCACATTTTTGGCAAGGCAGGAGCACAGAGAGTTGTTGACAGGTTTGAAGTTTGCACTCTGGTTTCTCTGAGTTGTTCCTGTGCCTGAGTTAGCAGGCTCTGCCTTACGGGTACAGTCACAAAGCTGTGATTTGCTGTAGGGTTGTAGATCCCCTAGGGCTCACTGCTGCTCACTGAGTCTCCTCCTGGCAGGATTGTCTCCATGCTGATCCCTGTGACCAGCCGCACCCGTGTCAAGCGTAGTGGCATCAGCCCCCTGCACTTAGCGGCCGAGCGCAACAATGATGACATTTTGGAAGAGCTGATAGATGCTGGCTACGAGGTCAACAGCGCCCTCTCCGATGAACGCTCCTGCCTTTATGAGGACAGACGCACCACCCCGCTCTATTTTGCTGTTTTTAACAACAACATCTATGCCACAGAGCTGCTGCTGCAAGCTGGAGCCAACCCCAATGTTGACCTCATTAACCCGTTACTCATCTCAATCCGCCATGGCTGCCTGAAGACCATGAAACTGCTTCTCGACCATGGAGCAAACATTGATGCCTATATATCGAGTCACCCCACCACCTTTCCAGCTACCATCATGTTTTCAATGAAGTACCTTTCTGTGCTGAAATACCTCCTGGATCTGGGCTGTGATGCAAGCTCTTGTTTTGAGTGTCAGTATGGAAACGGTCCACATCCAGCATTAAATTACAGACGGGAAAGACTGAATGATCCTCAGATAACCAGGGAGCCAACAGTAGTACAGGTAAGCACTGCTTAGTCTACCTGCAGGATTTCTGAGGGCATCTCCTACCCATGGATCTTGACAACTTGAGTGTATTCCAACTTTTTTTTGTGAGAGAAGATGCCAATGTCCCCACTTTATTAACAGAAAAAAAATTTAGTCAGTAAACATTCCAAGTTTGCAATTCAATTACAGCAGGAAGGTAGGCAACAGCCATTGTGGCCATAGCTGGAATTTACAGTGAATTATAGCCATCTTGACAGTCTTACTGACAGCTCTACAATATTCTCTTTCTCTGGACCTGAGATGCCAGAAGTGAGGCATATTTTCCTGACAAATATATGGATGGTAGCATATGGGTGGTAGAAGCTTTCTTTTTTTTTACCCTGTAGGATTTGTTTTGTCTGATACAGAATGTTAGCTACTGGTTACATTAAAATAGTCTAGTGCTTCACTCTATGAGGGTAAACTAKTGAATGCAAACAACTGCAATTTCTGAGTCTACTCCATAGGCAGTCATAGAGARAGAGAATGAATTATTACATTAGCTATATGACTGAATTACATTTGAAGTTTTCACAAGTTAGGAGATTTAGGTCCTTGATTTCATATTTTCAAACCCACTTACAGACTTTAGATACTTACATGTTATACATGTATCTTTGCAGTCCTTTCTAAAGTGCAGCTGGGCTCAGCTTCCGTTGGGTTGAAATTGGACTCTCAATCCCTTTAAGGACTTTGTACAATCTTGGATTAGACTTTTTTTTCTGATTTCTGTACGTTCTCTCCTTCCAATGTGTCTCAAAACTTAATGCTTCACTCAAAATCTGTCTTTCAACATGCTACACAAAAATGAGATCTCAGCATGGCAGTCTTTCTATCTTGCAAAGAATCAGGCAATAAATAAATCAGCTTCTATTCTAGTTTAACTGTAGCTTTGAGGGATTCAGAAGAATCCTGAAGACATGGTTACCAAATAGGTTCTTCAGTGATGGAAAGAATAAAGGAAAACATTAAAAAGAAATCTTGACCTTTCTATCAGTCCTGTCTACCAAAAGACTTTACTCTCCAGTWTCATATCTGGGGAAAACAAACAGACAAACAGACAGACAAATCTTACAGAGAGGATTTTAAGAATCCATCACAATAATATCTTATCCTAAACAGTACTTCATCCTCAGAGTCTTCAACACAACAAAATTCCTCCAGGATACCATATTTTTTGTCAAAGAAAAATTTATTAAATATATCATCTCTAGTTCTTGATCTGTGATATGGTAGCAGGTCAAATGAAAAGAGAGATGGAATTCCAGACAAGGATTTGTCTGTAACCCTCTGGGGTATCCTAGCCCCTCAAAACCAGTTTCTTCTGGATCTCACCTGAAACTATTGCCTAAGAAATTATTAGGTTGCTCACGAAGTCATTGCTTCAAAGGTCAGATCACATGAGGCAGAGGTAGCAAAATCTGTATGAAATTTTCTCGGTGACTAGAGAAAGAGCAGTGAGAACCGATAAATACAGAAAAAAAATAATMTCTTCTCTCTAATATTGTTTTTATTTGGCTTCTACTGCTAGGATTTTGGCTAATAAAAGTGAGGTCTGAGTGGTGTAGCTTTATGGTATGTAGTTATAACATGTTTATATTCTGAAATAAAAAGGATCTTACAAAACTATAGCCTTCTCCACACAAAGGATGTTAATTTTCTATTTTCTTGTATGAGATTATATAAGCATAATAAATCTGAATTATTAGTCTTTATATAAGACTTTGAACTACTGCAACAGGATTTGGAAAATGCACAAATATAAATCATTACTGATGCTACTAAATTCATGTGTCCTGGAGAAAGTGAGCACAGAAAAATGGTTGCTGCTTCCCTCCAAGTTTCCAGAACTGCTGTCRATCCCGGGAAGGTGGGGACAGCAGTACCGTACTGCCACGAGAGGGCATTCGGGTTTCTGCCAAGAACACAGGCTCAGAGCCACCTTGTCCCTGAGTCAATCCCACTGCCTGAAGTTGCAGTTTTGCATTATTTTTCTTCGTTTTGCTGTGCTTATTATTTTCCGGAAATGTGTTTTGAAACGTGTTTATTTCAGAAAATGCTTTTGTTAGCTGAGCTTGTGAACAGGGAACAGACAAAAAGGCAGGCAAGATGGAGACAAGAAGAGAGCAAGTTAAGATCCAGTGTTTTATTGCCCCACACATGTCTTCACTTCAACTCTAATAAAGCAGTTACTGCGAGGTGGTGGTGCAGATGTCCAGTCTGTACACGCCACTGCATGGCAGTGACACACACTGGAGAGTCACAGTCAGATACACAAAACTACACTTCCTATAAGCAGCCCAGGTAGAAAACTGTGGGCTGTCCACCATGATCCTTCTGACAATACTGTTTCTAGTCATCCTGGGAAACATCACATGGTGATGTTCAGTGAAAAAATAAGAAAGAGAAGAGCAGTAAACACCTCTGTGAATGCTCTCACCTTGAACAAAATAACCTTATTTTCTACAGCTCTGTTCTTTCCTAGGTGAACTAATATAATTTTACTTCTGAGTGAAGTATCCACACAAGAGTTTAATGATTTTGAGTTAGGACTCGGGCATGTATAATCAAATTTTATCTAGTTACAGGAGCCTAAACAGAAAGAGCTTTAAACTGGTGCGTTTTCTTTCCTGTTTGGTGTGGACTTGGAGGATGTTTGCATGTGTTAACGACTAAGTTGATAGATGGTGTTTCATCCACCATCATTCAACAGGGCTGAGCCACAGGCCTGAGTTCTCATCCACACAATGTGATTTGATTCATATTAAACTTCCTGACTGATCACATGGAGATTATGTCCACAGGTATCTTCATCATATGCAGCACCCTAAGAGAGACAGATAAAGCTGACTGGTATAGCACATATATTTGATTAAAGTAGACAGAAAAGTCACAGTTTTTTTTAAAAATGAGCCTGCTTAAAGTCAGGTCCTTAAGTCTATTCCTCAGTATCTCCATAAGCAGCCCTCCATGCAATGGATCTGGGTATTCTGCAGCTTGCACTGGCGACAACAGAAAACTTGCATGATCCAGAACTGAGTTAGGAAGGTGCTCCTCTGTTAGGACCAGGATAGCTCTCACCATGAGTGAGTAAAACAGCCTGGGATTCATCTATGTAGAGATTTCTCCCAACTTGTTTCTAACAAGGTGTTTGGTCTCCCAAAGCTGCAGATACTGGTGGGTTCACAAGAGGCAGGAGCTGTTGCTGTCTGCTGAATCTCCCTCTTTCCCTAAGATTCCTTTGGAGCCCACAGAGCCCCTCCCAATAAGGGAAAGGACTCATCATGCTATGTCACAGTGTCCTAGGCTGCATGGACCTTTCAGGAGCCTCTGACTGGCTTGGGGCGAAGTTCCTCTGCTCCTGCATTTCTGTGGAAGTAGGACCTTAGGACTTGTAAACAAGTCAGCATTATTCCATGCTCCAGAGCTGGGACTTCACCAGGAATTTGTGTCATCCTGTGATTCCAAAGAGGGGGTTCCATCCTCAACTGGAAAAGAATAGGCTTTAGTTTAAGTTTTCTGAAAGGAAAGTGATGATTGCTCTCACAACCGGTAGAAGRGGGGGACTGTCAAAGCTCTCAGTATGCTATTGTTGCTATTTCCACAAGTGCATTCAAGTCCCACTGATGGCAGTCATTCTGTTTTTCCTTGAAGTTTTGTGAAATGGTGTCTACTCCGGAGATAAGTCGCTGGGCTGGGCCAATCATCGATGTTCTTCTGGATTATGTGGGTAACGTGCAGCTTTGTTCCCGGCTCAAGGAGCATATTGACAGCTACGAGGACTGGGCTGTCATTAAAGAAAAAGCAGGTATGGTCTCCCAGGAGAGAATGTCACAACTAGTCCATTGCTGGATTCAAAACCTCAGTCACCATCTCCTCTTAGTATCCATCCCATAAASATGAAAAGATTTCCCTGCTGTGACTGATGAGGTAGGAGGGTCAGAAATTCCTGGGATGTCACTGGCTCTGTGGTGTGAGATGCACTCCAGCCATATATCTGACCCAGTGGGAATGAGCACTGCAGTGCAGCAAGGCCCATCTGGATGTACCTGGGGTGCAGTCCGATCAGGACAGGTGGGCAGCGCGGCGAACTCCGCAGCAGCCTAGCAGCCATTAGTGGCCTTTAAAGCCTTTTTGAATATTCCACTCTCCTAAACATCCTTTCCCTCAGGRAAAGGTCTTTCATAGGTATTGTCAGAACCAGTTTTCTGACACCAAACTAAGTTTGGAACTTACTGCATTTGTTTTCAGGAGGAAGGCTAAATACTTTGAAGTGTCTTGTCTAGAAAGCCCATTGCTATGGCTGAGATGGGTACAGCACCCCATCCTCCAGCCCCAAATCCTTCCCATGTCATGCTTCAGAACAGATGATCTGCCAATCCCAAATGCCTTATCCCTCCATCCTTTTAACATTCTTTCTTCTCCCATTTTCCTCTTGACACTGTCCCACCCAAGCTGAGCTCAAGTTCCTCAAGTTAAAACCTGTTCTGCTCATGTTTCTGACCTGCCTGTCTTTCAGAACCTCCACGACCTCTCTCCCATCTTTGCCGCATCAAGGTACGGAGCCTGGTTGGAAGAAACCGCATTAAACTCCTTGACACCCTGCCTCTCCCAGACAGACTGATCCGGTACTTACAGCACGACTACACACAGTGACCCCGAGCACGCTGGATACGCAGCAGCTTCCTGGCATGGCACCCGGTGTCACCACCGTGGCACAGGTGCACACTGGGGAGGAACTGCTGCTGGCTTGGTCAAGCACCCTCCCATGACTAATCTAAGAGAAATGTGCTTTTGAAGCATGAGTGAGATGAAAATGAAGGACACAGAGAGCTAACATAGGAGACTTAGGTTTTTCAACAGCAAACACAAAGACGGTTCACCTCACACCTTAGTCTGCAAAGAAGAAATGAAAGCCAACACTGACAAATGAGTAGTGCTGAAACAAGTATCAGCAGGGAACTCAAAAGTACCCTGARACTGTGGTCACAATTCAGAACTTGTCAAAAGTCAACATACTTGGGAAAACAATCACATGACCTTCACTGTCTGAGATTTTTATTGTAGTTTCTATTCTATTGTTTGGATTTCTGTTAAGCATGCTGGTTGCCAATTATCTGACATTTTGACACCACCTTGMTAACACTTCTACATCTTTTTTTGTACCTTTCTTATTGAGTACTTGATTTCTGAACATTCAAATCTCAGAACTCTTTAACAGACTAAAATGCAGAAATACTGAATCCTTTAAAAGTCAAGGAAAGGTTTATTTAAGGAGGATGGAAGAATTATATTTGCACATAGTGAATACAGTTAATTCTGTATTATATTTGCAATAGGAAGTAAGTGAAATTCTGCTTGAGAGCATTTCCTAGTCTGGGGATTTGAAAGCAACCCTGAGCTCCTTTTTTTTTGGTGTAAATTAGAAGTAGCCACACTGTAAACAGTAGGTTTATGCTTTCATGAAGCTGGTTTGAGAACAGAACAAAGCCCTAAAGGAGCAGGAACAGAGAGTGATGTGAAGGAGAGAGGSAACACTGCTGAACCAATTTATTCTCTTACTCCCCCAGATCTTATCTCTACAAAACCCAGCCTCTCCAACCTCCTTGGAACTCTGTGCCTATAACAACATCATGGTCGACAGTAAGAGAAATTATTTCAAAATTATGGAATAATTTTGAAAAAACTTCAAAATGTATGGAAATGAATACCCAAAATCAGGTATCCAAATCCTTATTCAGGTGCCTAAACAATGCCAAGTTGCTTGTACCAGGTGAAGTTCCACTTAAGCCAGGGGGATCATATACCATATCAGATATTACTGAGGCAGAATAAAAATCTCAGAATTTAGCCCTGAATTTTCTGACTTTGGAGGTTTGAAGTATCTATTAGYTTCCTTTGACACTGATGAAAGTTTTTATCTCAGCTTCTTTGAAAATTAGGTCACCTATTTACAGCTCAGATCCACAACTGATTTATGGCAGCTTAACAAGTCACCATCTATCTGCTGAACCACTATAATWGTCCGTGAAATTCTTTTATTGAAGTTTTTAACAAGTCACATTCCCTCACAGCTGGAAAGGCCAAGGAGCCCATGATCGGTTATTGGCAGTGACTACAGCTCACTTGACAGGTGTGACTTGCTGAACTGCTTTGATGAGTGCWTTATTCCTCACTAGGCACCTAAGAAAGTGTGGAAGAACCTAAATTTGGAACTACATCTTTGCAGATCTTATGCTAGAAGCACACTCATTACCTTAGGAGACAAAGGACCTGTGCACCATTGGTCTGCCAGRAGTCCCCACCAGAGACTTTACAGATCTGGTTTTCTTTGTTGGTCTGAATACCATCCATGGAATATGATAGAAATTTAAATAGGGAAAATACATTGCACTGAGTTTTATTTTTGTGGAGTTTTATACCTGAACACCGGACTAAAGTGTGTTGCACAAATACAAGTAATACAAATCTGTCTAGGCAGACTGTGATGACTTTGTGTGAAATATGTTCATCATCTGTGGGACAGGATGYGAGCAGAAATAGGATTGATTACATGATTGATTACTCTGTTCCTTTCTGTGCCCTTTATAAATGCAAAAGTTGAAAAAACAACTTTTTCAAACAACTGGGTTTCAATTCACACTGAACACAGATTTTCTTGTAAAACTTTGGGAAGTAAGGGTGAAGTTTTATCTACTTTACTATCTACTATCTACTATCTACTAGTTTAAGAACTACTCCTTTGTCTCCTGCAGTGTGAACAGGGAATTGGTTCAGGTTAAGAAAACATTGGGTGGAGAGAAAAGGATGAGGAACAAGAAATCACTGTATCAGTTCTGCCAGTGAAGGCCCTGTWTTGGTAAACAGTACCTGGACAGATAGAAAATCACTGTGGAGTTCATGCATCTCTCACTTTCTGGGTCTGAACTACAGAGGTGTGGACCTTATATTGATATAATCAGAAGTCCTTGAAATCAAAAAGTGTAACAAAGCAGAGCTGTAGAGAGTGATTGATACCGACAAAGCTTGGTGGAGACCACTTCTTTGTTTTGTGTGCAGTGACAGCCCTGGAGATCCTGGCAGGTAGAAGGGTTTACAATCACCAACTACAYGTATAACTGCAGAAGTGGGATTTCATGAACTATCCCAAACTGGAATTTCCAAGCCGACATTCTTGTGTCCACAAAAGTCTTGCAATTTCTTTTTCTGACCTTGGAGAAGCTGAAACTGCATTTGAACTGGGTAAGTACAAAAAGCCCATTCCTTCTTTCAACCAAAAGACCTTCATTTCAATTGGGAGACCCATGCCCTGGTTTCTGTCAACCATCTGTGTTGAGCAGGAGACACAGAGCCAGAGAGCACTGGTCTGATGGGAACATAACACAACTGTGGGAAGGATAAGCGCATGTTGTGCACAGAAACCGAGGGGAGAAGAGTCTATCTATTGGGGGGAATCTGGTAATTACAACGTTATTTAGTCCTTTCTGCTTGATCTTTAAAGCAAACCTTCACACACTCAGTTTACATTTATTTGCACTGAAATGGAGCCCACTACCTCTCCACTCCAGTCACTGGCATACTATTTTGTGCACGGTACTGAATCTGAATGAATTCAATGTGCCTTTAATGTGTCTATCTAGAAGTTACTGTGAAAAGAAAAATACTCCAAAACCCAGCAAGCCAGGCTTTGTAAGCAGATCAGTATTTCTAGTGCAAGGTGAAGTGGCTTGTTTTACTGAGTGTGATAGACAGACTCCTTCAGACACAATGTGAAATGTTCTAGGAATATTTCATGACCAGGTTACTGTACCTTTTTTTTACTGCAACATGTGCAATTCACTTGATGTTCCTGTGCACTTTTTTGATTCTTTTTATTTCATTTTGTATGAAAGTTTTTTCATTTATCTCTCCCCACCCATTATTTATAAAAGCTGTTGTGTTTAAAAAAGTTTAAATCTGCATTGTTCTAGTAAATAGCAGCTCTCAAATGTTATGTTTCCAYCTTTTAAACAAAGTATGAATAAACAAGAAGAATCTGAAGGACTAGCAACTGTCCTGAATAGCAACATCAACCATCAACCAGCTGAACACAAAAATATCCAGGAAAATTCTGAATCAATCCAAGCTTGAACAATTAATAATTCTGATGTTAATCTCAGGGATGAGAAAACTGTAAGTATTGCTAGCGACGAGACAGAGTTGCTATTATTTGCAAACCTTTTGGAAAGACTCACACATCCCCATTCAGGGATTTTGAATATACTTAACAATTGTCTTCTGTTCATTTGTGTTTTACTTCACTGCTGCTCCAGTTCAAAGCCCCAGCAAGGGCCAGTGCCTGCCCTATGTTGGGGGGGGGACTTCCATGTCACAAAGGATTTTGAAAAAGTGACATTTGTTTAAATCTGAGTGTAGGAGCATAAATATTTGAGTCAGAAGTCATTTAGAATGGTCTGTTTCAATCCTTCATCATAAATTTAAAACACTCTATTCTGCTACATAGAAAATGTGCAGAAATATACATTCAAATGAGTTTAAAAGAAGGAAAAATAAAAAACTAGGAATTTACTATTCAAAAGATATAAACTTGGTTTTAGCTCTCTTCTTTCTCTGGATTTCTTCAAAATAAAATTTATACACAGGCTACCCACTTTGCCAAGTATTTGAATTTTTATATAAATCCTCATTCTGGTGTGATCCACAGCACTTTGAAATTTCCCTTCTGAACTCGCGGAGGAACAGTTGTGCACAGCTATCACTGCAATACCAGTAGTTCATTCCATTATCTGGTCTGGCCACCCAGATGGAAATCCAGACCAATACCAAGGAGGCTGCTCCGCACTGACAGTACTGAGACAGAGTTCAGCATCTGGCTGCATCTGGATTACGACAGCAACACAGAGCTATTGAAGAATTATTGTGAGAAAAGCCCATTTCCATGTAAAAAAATTCCGTGCCTACAGGTCTGTAAATTATAAGCCCTTGTTCTCCTACCTTTAACTTCAATGGCTCTGGTTTCTGTTACTTTCCTTGTGGAGAGGGACAGAGTTTCCTTACAGATTTTTTCAAAAAAAGGGAAAGGCATCTAAGTATGTTCCTATCTTCACTTGTGGATCAAGAGCTAACCTGCTACCTTTAATCCCTAGATTAGCTCTTTAGCTACACCTTGCATGTAGCTGCAGGCATGCACTACCAAAAGACATTTCCTGCTCTCTGTCCTGTGGGTATAGTCTATATTGGCTTTATACATATATTATCCCTGCCATAGCAGGGAGAAAGCAGTGAAAACCATCTCCACTTCTACTTTTCATCTGCACTACTAACACATCACAGATATTGTTTCCACAGAAGTGAATATTGGTGGAATATGTGAGGTTTGGGGAAAGCGTAAATCACTTGTAGCTGRGGAGTAGAATCACAGAATATTGAGTTGGAAGAAACCCACAAGGATCATCAAGTCCAGCTCATAAGTGAATGGCCCATACAGGGATCAGATCCACAACCCTGGCATTATTAGCACCAGGCTCTAACCAACTGAGCTACTCCCAGGGGCACTTCATATCCTAATAAAAGGTGCAGCCAGGTTATGCAATACCAAGGCCATCAGAAGATACAAAATAATACTCTACAAATGCTTCAGAAAATAAATTTTTTAATGACTGAAATGCACTCTAAGGTGTTTCCTGTTTTTCCCCTTGTAGAGATATCAGGAGTCATAGAGAGCTCTGCTAGTSAGAAACCAAACCAATCAAGGCCCCTTTTTATTGAATCCTGGGAGTTCCCATTAGCTTCAGCAACAGCAGGCTCAGGCCCTGGGAGATCACAGGTATCCATTCTCTGGCCCTTTTGTCCTCTCAAAATGTACTTGTCTTGACTTCAGTCATTTACTCCAGTATAACCAAATAGATACATACACCTGCAATATTAAATCTTTCATCTCTTATGTTTTGTGTCTTAGTACCACTTTCTCCATCGGTTTCAGAGAAACATAACTTAAAACCACTTTCTATTAAATTCTCCAAAGCCGATTTGTTAAAAAAATTAGGAAAATACTAGCCAAAACATTTACAGCCAGGTCTTGTGATAACATCTTAGAATCAGGCAAAATAAAAGACATCTGTATGCCAGAAATCAAGGTAGTCTATTCTTTACTTTTTTCTTCCACCACACTTCATGGTTTTGTATTAAACCAATACAATGCYTCATTTATTCTGTTGATGCAGAGCAATTCCTGATGTGAAAATTCATCCCGCTTCCATTTGCACCGCTTTAGCACTAGGTAATATCCTAGCCCCAGAAGAACTACTTGCAATTTTTATCAATCTGGATAGGCAGATACTTCAGCCCTCATATCTCCCCATCAGTTGCAAATCAAACCTGTCTACCCTGTGGGGCAAAATTAAACAGATTGCATTTGCAGAATCAACAAAATAAAATTACCTCCTTTCTCGCCTTATTTTTTTTTAATTCTCTCAGTATTTACATAAAACAAGAGCTTAAATCAATCACAAGTGACTTCTATATCAAATACCATCCTTCCAGTCTCTTGCATGCAAAAAGAGATGACCTGAATATCTTGACTTCTCTGGAATGACTTTAAAGTACAAAAACTCTTTGAATTCATTCCATTTCACTGCTGTTGCCGCAGGGCAGCCCCAGAAAGCTGTTCCCTCGTGGAGGAGGCCTCCTAGGTGTTACCAGTGCGGCTACGAATGGCCCGCAGCCCCACTCACCGCGGCTCAGACAATGCCCATCGATGAAAGAGACCTGTTTCGCCTCACGCTCCATGCCACCAGCTTCGCAAGGTTTATTCCCGAGTTACACCCGTGCACTGAGATCAGAGTGCGCCCSAAGTAACTTCCCCCCAGTTACTAATTCCCTGCAGCCCGCCCACGAGGCAGAGGGTGTGATCGCCGGCCTGCTTCCCCTGCCGCTCCACGCTGCCAGCAGCTCATGCCCGAAGGCTTGACCGGGCGTTTCAAATGCCCCCCAGGGACTGTCGTGTTCGGCATGACTCCGACACCCGGCCCGCTAAAGATAGCCAAAAACATTGAAGATGGGTGGGGGCATGGCGGGCTTGGTGGGGATGGGTTTCAGAACCATGGGCCKGTAGAATTTCTGCCCCGGGCCATCGGCCTCCTTGCAGAAGTGCGACACCTCCGCTGGTAGCGTGGCCGCGCTCTTCCTCCACAGACCCAGCCCCGAGAAGGGCGACGGAGGCAGCGCGCCCGGGGGCTGGTACACGCCTGGCCCGGGGCAGGGGAAGGGGCAGCAGGTCCAGGCACCCACCCGGCCTGACAGAGCCCCGGCTGGGTCCTTCTCCCCGCCGTGTGTCGCAGGGTCAGGGGGGCTCTCCGGGCCAGCAGCGTCTGGACTCCTTTTGCTTTTCTTCCCCTCATAGAGAGGAGGGTCTCTGGGGGCATGGAGTCCCTCGGGGCTGGCAGRAAAGGCCCTGGCCGTCAGGCTCTGTGCCGGCCGTGGCTCTTCCCAGAAGGAGGCGGGGAGCTGTCGCTTCCTCATGGGCACCTGGTCCGGTCGGGCAGCCTCGGGTTTTTGTTCCTGCAAAACCCGTTCCCCGATGAGGCTCTCCTCKGCCTCGGCTGTCTGCAGCACCTTCTCGGCGGCAGCCCCGCCGCGGGGGCTGGGCTCAGGTGCCTCGGGCTGGGGGCCGCGGGCCCGCTCCTCTGCCCCCCTGCGCCAGCCGCACTCAGGGGGTTTGCTGGGCTGACACCGCGGGATCCGTGAGTACTTCTGAGAAAACCGCTTGAGCTGCTTCTGCAAGTATTTTCTGTGGTCAACTGACCGGCGACAAGGAGCCGATTTATCCAGAGCCGCTTTGATGTCACTCGAAGCCAGGTTAACGAAGTTCAGTAGAGTTTTTACCTCGCTGTCCGATGCCATCTCACTGAATGCACTGTGCAGAGTTTCCCATGAAAAGTTTATAATCCTTCTTCAGGCAAACTTTGGCAAACCTGTGAAATATGATGGACAGACTTTTGAGCAAGAAGCTTTAGCATTATAAGCTTTAGCGTTTGAGTAAATAGCGTTAAGCGAATGGAGGGAGGCTAGGGGGGCATGTCAGACTTCTCAGGCACGCAATAAGTGATCCGTCAGCTCGCTTGCATGCAGGGAAGGTGCTGTCGGAGCGGACGCGTGCCCGCAGCCCACCGCCCCGCACTGCTGCCCCAGCACACACCGCCACGGCACTGGCTCACAAGTGCCAGCCAGCTCTGCGCCTAATCTTGTTAGATAGCGCTTAGGTGGACAGAAGCCGGGGTGGCCGCCCTGTAAGCGAGCACGGACACTCACCCGGCGTGCGGCAGCTTTTCTCACCGGTGCTGGCGGCTGCGTTGCTGCAGAGTAGAGCCCCTTCCCCGCTAATCTCGTTAGGCAGGTTACACACCGCCAACCTCGGCGGAGRCAGCCAAGGCCCGCCAGTGTTTGGATGCAGTTTAGCAAGCACTTGAGCAAGCTGAATGAATATCGACTCCAGCGAGTTCGGGGCTCTCCCAGGCCAATCAGAAGCCACTTTGCCAAATACAAAGCATCCCAATCAGGCATCAGCCTCCCCTCCTTGCATTCTTTGCCATCACAAATTGTCTCCATGGGGACAGCCGCAGAAAGACAGCTAATAAATACAATCATTTCCCCATGATTTCTACCATTCTCCCTATCGTCTTCACCCGGTGGAAACCTKTCATTTAAAAATTACACAATCCGAAGCAAAAAATGCAAGATGAGTTAGGAAAGTTTAGACACACTTTCCTCTGCAATCTCCAAAGCTGTGTGGGGGCTGATACTAAACATGCTTCATTGGCACAGGACAATATAATATGGGGGACTGGACTAGCCTACTTTTAACCGTTCCCCATCAGAGCATTTTTTTTTAAGGGGAGGATGATGTCAGAAAAAGGTAGGAAAGGAACAAATCTCTAAAGAGATGTGCAGATATCCATGGAAAGGGAGCTTGAGCGCTCAAGAATCTTGTCTTTATGTTTGCCCCCTCAATTGAGTTACACAAAAGCTGAATTACCCATTCAAACTACCCGAACAAAAGGATGGAGTTGGATAGTACTCTTGCATCTGTAGTCAAACAGTTAGAGACTTAAATCGAGTCGTCATGATGGAGAAAGAGTTAGACAAAGCCCATAGAATTGCCATCAGCAAACATTTTCCTGTGTCATATTAGTGGGTCTCCATGACTCCCCCTGGCCTGGGGACAATAGCACAAGTTTGCACACTCGACTACTGTCACCCTGCCAACGCTGGCAAGGAGCAGAAACAGGACAATCCTTTAAGGGGAAAGCATGCCCGCTGCAGGGAAGGTAAGAAGAGAGGGAAGAAAAGGCGTGTGAAATGCTAATTGAGCTGCTTCCTTTACTGATCCAGAGTTATGCGAGCCCTCTGCCTTCTTGAAGGCTCGTCCCTAAGAGGCGACAATTACTTAAAAGCACAGAAAAACCTAGAGCTGGACGAAGAGGAGAGCAGAAGAGCTGCCCTTGGTGTGCACCAATGACACAGAGCTGGCAGCAGCCTGTATGCCAGCCAGCACCCGCTGCCTCCTGCAGCTGAAGCTTTGCTCCTGCTCTCCTGTCCGCAGCACCAGAGGGATGGGAAGATTGGATAAGGGCACAGGACCTGTGCACTCATCATCAGGGACATGCTGCCAGCTCTGAACCAAATACAGATGTGGTGAGGAAAGCAGGGACTGAAGTCCAAGACATTTTGCAAGTAAAATCTATCCTACTGATGCGAGGCATCAAAGGGCTGCACTGAGGGATGAAAACAGCCACATTTTACAAGTATTTTACTGACTGCTATTTTACTTTATTCATCCAATTTTCATCAGAGGAAGCCAAAATCCAGACTGTGCCATTATAYGAAACTCTGGGTAGAGGCCTCAGGGATGACTCTTCCATATACCTGAACTCATACAGTCATCCTATTCACACCTTTTCTCTCAGTCTGGCCTCAGCCACATGTGGTGGTGCTCTGCTTCAGGTCTAGAGAGACACCGTGTTCAGGACGTCCTGCAATAGAATGTGCTACAGAACTGTTGGCAGCACGGTGGGCTGGAACACAGTGGCTGATTTGCTGCTTGCCAGGTGTGCCTCTCTCCTCCTTGTGTCTGTGTGGCCTGCACAGACAGTTCTGTGCAGCTGAGGCTACAGGGAGAGGCTTTGAGTAGGTCACTGAAAGATGCACACCAAGGGATCATACTTCTCTTTGCAAGAATAAACTGCSTCTTGTGCTTGAGCTTTCAAACCCAGCCTGGGCACCACTTTTTATGATGCAGTCTCCCACCGAAGCTAGTTGGTGTCCCAAGGCAGAAAAAGGGAGAGATAGTGAAGTGACAAGTGACAGGTGCCTGGGAGTCAAAGATTATCTCAGGATGTTAATGAATTGTGTCCTCAGAGGCCTGGGAAACTCATGCCATGTATTATGAGACCTGCATCCTATCTCCAGAACCCTGGGCTGTGCTCTGAGACTGAGGGCTAGAAGCTCAGTTGGATTGAGGAGTGTGGACGTGGCTTGCCYGCTTGCTGGGGGATAACAGACCCGCATGCCTCCAACACACTGCAGAAGCACTTTCCAAGCTCCTACACTGCAGCCATGCCCATCCTCTCCCAGAAGGATGTTTGTGCAGGATGTGGCTCCTCAGGCACCACATAGCAGGGGTGGGGGAGCTCCCCATGCCTTGCTACGCTCGCTGTGCCAGCATCCCGTTCCCCTGCAGCTGGTAACAGTGGGGTGCCAGAAGGGAATGAGCCAGCAAGCAGGGTTTAAAAACCAGAGCAACCCACCCTTTCAAGGTCAGACTCAGGTTGAGCGGCACAGGGTTTTCTCTAAGAGGCCACCGGAGCCCTTTTGTTCCTCGCTGCTCTCACCATGTTCATCCCAATGTACATGTGAAAGGAACAATTAACAATAGGGCACTTCTCTACGAGGATCCAATGCACTTTGAAGTGTCCACCAAGCAAAGGCTCAAGAATGATACATCATTTTCCACTGTGAACATGTCAAACTAGTACAGCAATTGAAAAAATGTCTCCACATGCCTTCCCAGCATGCAGACAGGGACCAGCTGGAGAGCTACTTCATATCCGACATGTCACCTCCTGACAGCTGTCTTCTTGGGAATTTTTGGTATGTAAATTTTTCTAACTCCTTTTTCTAAGCAAAGCACAAAAATAAATTCATTCACTTGAAAATTTCAGCCAAGCTTTTCCTAAAATGAAGTATTTATKTTGAGACTAAATGAAGAAGAGACAAAAGAAGATTTTCTTGCACAAAAATACCTGCAAAGTGTTTTTAAAGTGTCACTTACTGTAAGTGATGTCAATCTTTAGTCACTACTGCACCAAAATCTCCCAAAGGTTATTTCCGGGCTGAGGGGCCCATTCAGTGAAGGTATTCCAGCATTAGGTTATCCTGGACCATGTGAGCGCACCCACTAATGAAAATGCACACCATTAACTGGGGTTGGGATCCCTCCCCCAGCATTTCAAATAGCAGGAACACCCAAATCATGCTGGTAAAGCGAAAGGCAGCTCAGTGAACTACTTAGCAGTACAAAGATCATATAGAAGTCACTGTTTTGACACTAGGTAACTGAAAACTCTTTTTTTTTCACTGAGAGGAAGTTTTTTGTCCATCCTAACCTGARCATCAGGTGTTACTGAAGAGTTCATCTCACTATCAGGATAAGAACTGGGAGTATCACATAGTACTTTCTGGGAAGGCCTGGACTGAAATCAGCTCTTGRTGGCTGTATATGTTTGTCTGAAGTACACATCTGAATGATAAGCACCATTATCCTCATCTCTTCCCCATGARTGTCAAAACTAGGCAATTGCTGTTAGTTACAAAGAGAAACCCTCAAAATCTATCAGATTTTTATTTGAAAAATAAGGCTTCTTAACAGCCATCCAAATATTTTCTTTAGTAACTTCATAGATGTTTTGCTTGTTTGCTTCGAGGAGAGGAGAAAAATAAATTTCCATTGCTTTGTAAATTTTTTAAAACTATTTTTCCCCATTTGGGTCATAGTCCTGTAACTCCTAATTGAGTCTAATGGATGTGCACTTTGAAGCAAAGAGAAAACAGGGCTCCAACTGGTTTGAAACTTTAGACAATTAGCTGGAACATCTCAGATGGGCCAGGTGTGAATTATTCCTTTTCCTTTTCGAGTCCACTATGGRCAGTTAAAAGCAAAGATAATTCAGTTCTGTGATCTGCTTTCACTCACCTGCTGCCTCCTAAGCCTCTGATTTGCCTTCACGCTTGACAAAAAGAGACAAGACTCTGAAGGGACATGATGATGATTCATGGTGAAACCAGACGTAYTGGCCTGGAGAGGAGTAATATTGCGATGGAGAAAGAGTACTAAAGCTCATCCGCAGGGATCCTGATTTTAGATTTCACGTTGACATTGACTGAAGTGGAAAGATGTTAATGATGCACTGATGGCATAAAATTGGAAGATGCTATTTAACATCATAGTGCAATAACTGTGTGATCTCAAAGGTGAATGCAATGGGAGAGGAAAGGATTGCAGTAACTCCGAGTCATGCATCTCAGGAGCTGATATCAGGAATTTCTGTCATGAKGAAAAATGTCATTGTCTGGAAATGAGAAGGAAGATCAGGTCATAGGATAAAAATTAATCTCCCTCCATCTAGTCTGACCTTCAACAGGTGTGTGGAGGGGAGAGGGGTGAAGGAGAAAGGTGGTCTGGTACTGATGGTGTTCAGGACCCCAACAGGCTTAGAGCCTGGCCCCAGCCTGGGATGGGAGCTTATCCATCCCAGGACCTGCAGGTTCATTTGAAAGGGATGTCTGACAGTGTGTGCATAGGGGAGCAGCCAAAGGCCTKTGCATTCCTTCCTGCACCCCAGCACACAGGCGCTGCGGACAGCAGCAGAGACATCTCTGTCTGGTACTGACCCTCACACAGCTTGGTCCT